CTGCCTTCTTTTTCAGAGGGGCAATGGTATCAAGTGTATTACGCAGGAAGGCTGCAGTACTATCAACAAGATTATCGATTTGTGTGGGAGTAAAGTTAAGGTGGCCTCCTTCCACTGTGTTGGCAAACGGCACTGAAGTAGATAAAGATGGAATTATTTCCTTAAACTTGGTAACAGCATTGCCAGATAGACATCTGCTGTAGTGGAATTGTTTCCCACATAGAGTATAATCCATTAATGGAAATTCAAAAGTTATTAGAAAATGGTCAGACAGAAGAGGGTTATGGGGAAAAACTATTAAGTGTTCAGTTTTGATGCCATATGTCAGAACAAGATCAAGAGTGTGATTAAAACAGTGAGTGGGTTTATTTACAGTTTGAGAGAAGCCAACTGAGTCTAATAATGAACAAAATGCATTGTTGAGGCTGTCATTGTCAGCATCTACATGAATATTAAAGTCGCCTACTATGATTATTTTATCTGTACTAAGCACTAAATCAGACAGAAAGTCTGAGAATTCAGTTAAAAACTCTGAATAAGGTGCAGGTGGACAGTAAACAATAGCAAATAGAACTGGCTCTTGAGTTTTCCAGTTTGGGTGTGGGAGACTCAGAGTGAGACTTTCAAATGAGTTATAACTATGTTTAGGTCTAGGGTTGATTAACAGGCATTAGTCAAAAAATCGCTGCCATACCTCCACCTCGGCCTGTGTTTCAAGGGTTGTGACAGTTACTATGACTAGACTGACATATTCTTCCTGCTGTAACCATGTTTCAGTAAGACACAGTAAGTCAATGTGATGTTCACTTATTAAATCTTTCACTAACAGAGATTTGGACGAGAGAGATCTGGTATTTAATAGTCCACATTTGATTGTCCTGTTATTTTGTTCTATAAGAGGAGTTTCCAGTTGTCCGTGAAGATGCAAAAGGTAAATTAAACCCCTAATTATATTAAGAAAAAAAAACAGACTCAGAGAGTGCAACCTCCGCCAAGGGCAACTCCATTTCCCTATAATGCCATAGAAGGAATATTCTCATGACAGTTTGACTTTGTATATGACAGCTTTACTATGATAACCTACTGCTGGCATTTGGACTGGTCCTGATATCTTTATTAGTGTGAGCCCACTCTGCTATACTCCAGGCCTTGTGTTTATTTCTTGTCCTCTGTGGCCACTGTTGTCCATGACCCGGCTGTTCCCAAGTTATAAGATGCGTTTTTCAAACCATTGCAAAGACGGACCGTAGAGGACCGCTGTGCATGTACAACCCAGGATGGGCGCGGACTTGTTAGATCCAAGAGGCCTTGTTCTCTAGCACAAAAAGAGTGTGACAAAGAACAAAGCAAAACCAGAGTTAACTTTGGTTTGACATGTTGGAGATGGAGAGTCTTATGTGGCTATACATTCCAAACAACATGCGTTAACACGCATGCCTGCTGAGCTTGATGGCTTGCCATATAAATACATCATGTAAGCTTTCAGTGTGCGGTCATTTATTTTCATTTTTCCACCCTTGCAGCAGGTAAAATGAATTTTATGTCAGTTTAAACATTGCTCTAACATGATCTTTGGAAAAAGTGACAGCCCTAGTATGCATATTTAATCTTCTTTACTTGACATTGTTTTTTAGATTAGATTAAATTCAACTTTATTGTCATTACCCATGTACAAGTACAAGGCAAAGAAAACAGTTTAGCATCTAACCAGAAGTGCAATAACAGCATTTAAGAGTACGCAGTATCTACAGTATGAACAGTCAGAGCTACTGTAATTTACTGATGGATATGCACAATTGATATTAACAGTAAGATATGTAGGATATACTGTACAACAGACTATGGATTCAAATTACAAGCAATGGACAAGGTACATTAAGCTTATGGAACAGTAGTGCAATGGGATGAGATGGAATGAAACAGTGCAGACTAAGAAGATAATAAGTTACATGAGTTAACAGTTCAATAGATATAAATAGTGCAAAGATAAAGATAAATAATTTACTCCACATAAACACTTTGTCCTGCCTTTTTGATTTTATTTTGACTAGGTCTTGTTGAATGGAGTTATGACGATGTACAGTAACTGTCCAAATGACAGGTTTCATTTAAGATGTGGGTTTATGTTTGTTCTTAATAATGAGCTGGTGCTTTAGGAAGGCAGTGGGGGGTTAACGAGGGACAGAGTTCAGTAAGGAGACAGTTGTGGGGAAGAAGCTGTTCCTGAGTTTAGCCGTTCCGGAGTCTGGAGCCTCCTGAAGCACCTCCTAGAGTATAGGAGGTCAAACAGTTTGTGAGTAGGGTGAGAGGAATCCTTGAGAATGCTGTGAACATATCAAAGACAGCATTCCCTGTGGACGCCCTCAATGGCT